AACGACACATATACCCCCCCCTTTCTAGCCATTGACTCACATAATTGATAATTTTATTACATAAACTTGCCAAAAAAAGGTACATGGAAGTGTTCAATTATGGAAAAATCAACGGAAACCATTTTGACATTTAAGGCCCATGTGACATTGACCTTTGACCTAATGACCTCTAAATCAATAGAGGTCATCTACTAGTGATGACCAATCACTTTATGAAATATGAAGACTTTGTGATGAATATTTTTCAAGATAATCAGCGGATACCATTTTGACATTTTAAGGTCCCTGTGACCTTTACCTTTGACCTAGTGACCCCAAAATCAATTGGGGTCATCTAATAGTGATGACCAATCACTATGTGAAATATGAAGACTTTGTGATACATACTTTTCAAGATAATCAGCGGAAACCATTTTGACATTTAAGGTCTCTGTGACCTTGACCTTTGACCTAGTGACCCTAAAATCAATAGGGGTCATCTACTAGTGATGACCAATCACTATGTTAAATATGAAGACTTTGTGATACATACTTTTCAAGATAATCAGCAGAAAGCATTTTGACATTTAAAGCCCCTGTGACCTTGACCTTTGACCTAGTGACCCCAAAATCCAATGGGGTCATCTACTAGCAATGACCAATCACTGTATGAAATATGAAGACTTTGTGATACATACTTTTCAAGATAATCAGCGGAAATTTTTTTGACATTTAAGGTCCCTGTGACCTTGACCTTTGACCTAGTGACCCCAAAACCAATAGGGGTCATCTACTAGTTATGACCAATTACTATGTGAAATATGAAGACTTTGTGATAAATACTTTTCAAGATAATCAGCGGAAACCATTTTGAAATTTTAAGGTCCCTGTGACCTTGACCTTTGACCTAGTGACCCCAAAATCAATTGGGGTTATCTACTAGTTATGACCAATTACTATGTGAAATATGAAGACTTTGTGATAGACACTTTTCAAGATAATCAGCAGAAACCATTTTGAAATTTTAAGGTCCCTGTGACCTTGACCTTTGACCTAGTGACCCCAAAATCAATAGGGGTCATCTACTAGTTATGACCAATCACTATGTGAAATATGCAGACTTTGTGATACATACTTTTCAAGATAATCAGCGGAAACCATTTTGACATTTAAGGCCCCTGTGACCTTGACCTTCGACCTAGTGACCCCAAAATCAATAGGGGTCATTTACTAGTGATGACCAATCACTATGCGAAATATAAAGACTTTGTGATAAATACTTTTCAAGATAATCAGCGGAAACCATGTGGTCTACCGACGGACAGACCGACAGACCGACGGACAGACAGACCGACATTAGCAAAACAATATACCCCCTCTTCTTCGAAGGGGGGCATAAAAATAAAATCATCAAATTATCACCATACAATGAATAGATGTAGAAAGTGAAATTACCTATGTGGAGTCAGAGACTTGTTTTTATCTCAAGCCAAGATTCCGAGATATTTTTTTTTTAATTCTAGGTCAGAATACATTGTTAGAATAGCACATTATTTCAATTTTCATATGGTTACAACTAATGGTACTAGCTTGAAACACACATGTTTTTTTTTCTTTGCCTTTTTTTTTCATAATTAGATCTACATTAATTAATATGTGTTTAATCAGGGATTGTATAAAATACATCACTGTGGTTTTATTAGATTAAACATACTATTTGCACTGTGTTTAGCTATTAATTATAACACAACAAATATTATCTCCAAAGCTCATGATAATATTTACTTTTCGGCTTAAATCTAATACTAAATCTATTATACAATTACTGTGGGTTAAAACCAGGTCACTCTCCAGTTTAAGATGTCCTCTTTCCAAAATGAAATTTCAACAATAAGAAATCCTAGTATTTGAATGCTCACCAAATATTTCCTACCTTCCTTTCCAACTTCATGTAATGAGACTTCCACAAAAAGATTCTTCTTCCGACTGCTGTGTCTAATCTTTAATCATATACATCTGCCCGCTACAGTAGCCTATAGGACACTCCTGTAAATAAAATGCATCACTGTTAAAAACTACACACAGATTTCAGTGCAAAATAATAGTAACCATTAAATCAAAGAGCACAAATAACTTACACATATTTTTCAAGCATATTTTTACATCCGGTGAATATTTTAGTCCATGTATAAAACAAATATAAGGAAAGTAGGGCAGTCTATTGTAAAAAGGTCATCCTCACTGACATATTGATCAACTGAACTGTCTATTTTTAGGTTCAACCTAGTACATAAACAAGCCTGGTTCCCAGCACAGTCTGATTCATTCATTACTGCAGGCCGGGAACCATCAGGTGACATTGTTACACTTAAGAAGTTTAATGATCTTATGAGCAAAACCTCAATGGTCTTGTTTTCATAATCTAGGGCCTCCAGTTTTTACATTAATCAACTTTCACCCTTTATTTCCAATAGTTAATATTATAATCTGACAGGTGTGTTGAAAACTATGCTTTTCATACAGTATATCTTTTTATCTTTTCAACTTCAAGGCCACCATGTTAACATTAAGGGAGATAATTAATTTAAATAAAATTAATTACAGCTAGAGTAACTTATCTTTCATGCAGCCCAAACATAAAATATTTATTGTCCTAACTAAATGCCTTAAAAACAAACAAGAAAAAATTATTTAACAGTGGTAAAGGCATTAAGGTCCCCACACAGACCCCCCCCTCCCCCCCCCCCCAAAAAAAGCCATAAAACTTTGACTTTAATGTCTCAAGTACAAAAACAAAAAAATCCACATGAAAAAAATCCACATGAAAAAAATCCACATGTGAAATCCAAAATCAATATTCAATGCCACTCTCATGTTACTGTCTCGTGTATTAAACTCGGGTTTTTCCCCCAGGATTTTGGGAAAAATTGACCCATACCCATGGAATTGGGAATTTCAGCAATGTTTTGTTTTTTTTAATTGGAAAAAAATGCAGGACTTAAATTTTGCAGTGATTGAAATGAATGCAAAGAATCACTGTCTATGTCATCTTCAAACATTAAATTTAAGCACTGTAACAGTGAAGAAGCCCTTACTTTTAAAGATTTTAGAATTTCTTATTCAATATTTTTATTTATTTCAATTGTAACTTTCAATTAAGAATTTTTTCCTGTGGATTGGGAAAATTATATACTATTTTCAGTGGACCGAACATCGGCTAAAAAATATGCACAAAAAATCCCTGAAACTTACACTCATCCATACAGTCAATGAACTGAATGATATTTTAATATGGTGACAAATATTATACCGAAAACGAGAAATACAAGATTTACTTATAACAAGTAATTAATGATCACATGTGTTGGCTGATGATGGCAATGCACTTACGCATTTGTATTGAGGGATGAATGACCAGTTTGTTCCCTATATGTTCTATAAAATTTCATTCCGAAACTGGTATAAGCAAGAGAAGTAGTTAGCATAAACTTTACAAATAAAAATAATAAAAGCGTCAAAACTGACAAAAAAACATGGAACTGGAAAATGCTGACTATATGTACATGTATAACTAAACATGATTCTGATCATTCCTGTCACATTTGAATGAAACTGCATTTACACTACAACCATCACATCACTTAGATATGGCATACAACTGAAAATAGATATAATTTTACATTTTCTCTTTACAGCATGCAAGAGAAAAAAAAATCATCTACATTTTCTTTTCTCTATCATTTAATGAAGGCCAAACATAAAACATTAACTGCATCAAAATGAAGAAACAACTATAAAAGAGTGTTACTGAACAGGAATTGCATTTATCTGACAGGAAAAAGAAAACAGGAAAAGATTGTTACATGTATTAAATAGAGTATTTTCTTCCATGTTCTTGCTTTAATTTTGTCAAAAGCAACATTATAATCAACAAGAAATTGTATCTATTATACTGATTCATGATATAATTTAAAGTCCCATACTTTATTTTTCCCTTTTGCTCAATAAATTTTGAATGTTCATAAAACAATTGTGAAAAAAGGGACACTCTTCTGGCTTTGTGAATCAGTCCAAAGCTGCATGAGGAAAAAAAACCCACTGCATTCTGTTGTATTTTCTCCAAAAAAAAACTATAAAATTACTAGTGTGTATTGGTTATCTTGAGTCCAAATATGCTAATATGTTATTTTTTTTGCTTAATCAAGGGTCATAACTCTGCTAATCTCCAGTGAACATGACAAATGACCAAGATGCATAAATTCACATGATGACAAACATTTCCTAGGTGTCAATTGCCCAATGAACAGTAACAGAGTTTAAGTACCCGCCAAAAGTTATACAAAAGCAACAGGAAATGGTATCCAAGCTTCTACTTTTCATTTTTTTCTAAAGGCAAACACAATGGAGGAAGCTTATTATAAACTTGTATTCCATATTGGCCTATGTGCTTATGAGTGAAATATGAAAGGAGTTTAATCATAATTGCATTATGTAAAAGATAACACAAAGCATTAATAATTATCTTGTTGAAATAATTAATGAATTTTGTTGAAAAACTATTTACTACTTAATGATAATAGCAACAAATTCTATTAATTTCTGTGAAATGCATGTAAATAATGCTATTTTTATATATACAAATTTAATTTACAAACGACATAGTATTACATGCTATGGATGAGCACCGTGGCAGGGTGCACAGTAAATCATCATCCTCTACTTGAATCTCGACCTACACGTTATCATCATCTTTCGTCTGATAACTTATAGTCCAACTAATTAGACTTGTCAAAGACAAATGACTAGCCACTTCAGTCTTTTTACAAAATGCCTAAAATGTTCAGGGATTGCTTTTACAGAATCTAACTTGGTGCTTAAAACTTAATAAATGCCTCTGCCCTTTTATTTTTCCACGTGCACGATTCATTATTACTGTCTTTACTGCACGTGTGTTTGGTTCCCGTCAACCTTAGGATTAACGGTGCCTGGCGAAGTGATCCGAATTAAAAAAAAATACTAGTCACGTGATCATAAAATGGTGGATGGTAAAAAACGTGTTTCTCTTTAAATTTGAAAAAAAAAGTCTTCATAAGGGAAGGTATAATATAATAAAAGTTTATATTAATTTTAATAAGGCACATTTTCTACGTTTTCTCTAGTATACAAATACTTGACATAGTCAATCTTAATTTAATGTATGGCCTGTTTGTAACTAGTTTTCGCGATAATAGAACATTTTGGGAACCGCACGAACACGCTGCATCATAGACTTATGACTATCAGTATCAGATGAGATCCAGAAGACATGGGAAAACATTACATGTAGATAGTCACAAAATCATATACTCAGTATATATTTGTATATTATTGAATTACCGTTCATAATGCAACTATCAGTAGTGACTACTGATAGTTTGGATTGATTTTTTTACTGATAAAAACCTGAAAATATCTTCAAGTTCTTCTAAAAAATCAATAGAATGTTTATTTTAGTACTAAAAAATTGCACTCAAAAATAATCAAATGGTATCTATTTTAATGTAAACAAGCAATTTATTTCAAATTTGTAGTACAAACCATTCAGAGTAAGACATCACCCTGGCATCCAAAAATTATCGACAAGTCTATTGAGTTGGACTAAGTTTACCCTTTAAAAATTTATGTATCTATTTTGGTTCAGGGATCTATACTGAGTTATTATATTATTTACAGGAAGATATAAAAGCATGTGATTCTCATTGACAGATTCTATAAAAAATATTTTTCATCTATTTGGCAATAAAATTTTTGGTAGCTGTAATTTTTGTGGGTACATAATTATGTAGGTAGCGGGAGGGGAAACAAACAATAATGGTATTTTATTTTGGGCCTAATTTGCATGAATTTTAAAAGTTTGTTTACTGATTGAACATGATAGAAATAAAATATTTGTCTCTTTATAAATAATGCAGCAACCAATCGTAACCTGGATCCCCATACTCACAGATTATATTGTTTATCTGATATTTTCTGCAACATGTAATTGTATGGTATTCAAATTTCAGGTATTCAAATAAAGTTTTGTAATGACTGAATGTACAGTGTGCGGAGGAAACAACTTTGAGGAACATGAGGGACATTTTTTCTGTACCCTTTGCAGTACCCAGTCTCAGGTAATTGATGTTTGAGATTAAGGCCCCCACGATTACACGTTTAAATGGATTTGTTTCGATTTTCATTCATAAACGTTTACGATATTGTTTACCGTTTAATCGAAATGACTGTATTGTCTGACAAAATTTCTTAATCATTGCCTGTAATCATGGATTCTAGTGGTCTATTCCAAAGAAACAAACGGAAAATGGGTGTTTACAACCCTCCACACAGCATTATGGGGTTACAATGCAAAAAATGTGTGCTGACTCAATTGTGATGAGCCCTGCACATTCTTTATTTGTACATGTATTAAAAATAGAAAGAAAGACATAATTTGGCGACTCAAATACATGGTGTGTATAGTACCTAGAGGTACCACCGTTTAAACGGTATCGTTTCGGTTATTAGCAATCGTGTAAACGTTTACAAAAAATTGTAAACGTGGGAGCCTTATTTGAGATTACTTCAGATATAGGCATGTCATTGTTACCGGTATGAAATCTATTAATAGTAACAAATTGCTGATAAGACATACAGGTAACTTGTTGACGGTTAGCAAAAAACATGTTGGCTGGTAAAATACAAAATATAGTAATTTTATATCAGTAATGACAGTTATTTTTCAAGAAATATTTTATATCATTAGAAAGGTATGTACTGAAAATACTGTTGAAAAATAGCCGAGTTTTCTTTTTTTAAAGTAAAAAATGAAAATCCGCCTATATTTCCAAAATATGAATTTAATGACCTTTCAAATGATATAAGGATCTAAAAAAAATCGATCCACAAATAAAAAAGTTATTAGAAATCAAAAATTCTGCTGCTATATAATGTATATAAATGATGGGTCTTCTTGTCAACCGGTAAATCTTCTAAATTCTGGTAGCAGGTGCTTGTGACGTCATCATTCAATGGGCCTATAAGACAGAAGACTAGATTCAGGCCCCTTGTGGCTGAGAGGTTGTCTTTACAGGTTGATGCATTATAATTGCAGCCACTGTTAAACCCTGTGTGATCATAAGAGGCGACTAAATGGGTTTGTGTAACTGGAATCTGTGCATCTCTTAGCTCCAGCAGGTGTGGTGGTTTTGATCCCTGGTATTGCTTGAAGTTTGTAACACCCACAGTTAGCCAAAATGATCTTTCTTATTTCGGTACCTTATTTCAGACCTAAATTGTATTGGTTCACCATAAAACAAAACAAAACAAAAAAAAGATTGATACAGGACAAGTAGAATTTTGTATATCTTAACCTGATAGTGAATATTTACTAAACAAAATTTAATTTGTAAAATTGTCCCTTTGATAAATAAAAAAAACTTTAAACAAATACTGAAGATATTGCAGATGAGATAGCTAGTTAATTGCTTAGTAACTAACCCTAACAGGAAGGGGTTTTTTTTGTTTTTTTTTTAATTAAAGAACATACTGATATAATTACTATTCTTGTTTCAAGACAGTTGAGTGGTTAAGGTTGTTTACTTCAACCCACTTGCCCCTCACCACTGTGGGTTCGTATCCCAAAAAAGACTTTGGATTCTTTCATGTAAGGAAGCTATCCTTTCCATCTAACTTATGGAAAGTTGGCGGTTCTACACAGCCGCCAGGTGCCTGAAAAATATAGCACAGAAGTGCACCTGATGTTTTTCCTCCACCAGTAAAGCTGCAATGTTGACTTTTGACCTATACTGTGTTGGTGAAAAGTAAAACCCAACCAAAAAAGAAGCACTGGTTTAATTAATGGAAGCATAGATTGCATAAACAGATGTTTAACTTTGTTCTCATACTGTGAGTTACAATTCAGATGTTACTATGTTGGTCTTATTCTGTGAAAACATGCAAAGTAAAGTCAAGAAACCAGTTCAAACTACAAAGTCATGGGATAGGGTTGCAGGGAAGGCTTACTGGAAAGTGGGGAAGTAGTGACATCTATTTCATCTTATCTACAAATGTGGTTATATAAATATGAACAATGACATAAATATATCTGTTTTCCTCATTGAAACATTTATTCAATGACACAGTTTAATATTTGTAGCATCACCTGTAGGTCTCTGGGTTTTCATATAGCAGATTGGCAATCCATATCATTGAAATGCTGTCAAAACTAGTTGTAATTTTTAACCAGGTTTTCAGAAGGTTTTCCGAAGGAAAAAACTGGTTGTTAGATTGAGGTATGTCGGCGGGCGGGCGTAAACAATTTCTTCTGTGCGCAACTCCTCCTACATTTCTCAACGGATTTTTACCAAACTTTCACAGAAGCTTTGTCATCAAGTGCCCTGGCGCATATTGTCGGGGTTTTGGGATTAGATAATATTTGACCTAATTATGGCCCTTTGTTTTTTTTCCTTATATAGAATATATAGTGAATAATTTCTTCTGTGCGCAACTCCTCCTACATTTCTCAACGGATTTTGACCAAACTTTCACAAAAGCTTTGTCATCAAGTGCCCTAGCACATATTGTCGGGGTTTTGTGATTGGATAATTTTTTATTTAATTATGGCCCTTTGTTTTTTTTTCCTTATACAGAATATATATAGTGAACACTTCTTCTGTGCGCAATTCCTCCTACATTATTCATGTTTTACATTGCACATAGTTACATTGTTTGTTGCTTGTATTTCTATTTCAAATACAACATATTTATCTACAATGGTGATAATTGAAAACCTGGTTTCATGGCATTGCCATGTTTCTTGTTAGCCCTTAGATTAAAGTATCTCCCTTGAACCTTGGCCAAATTAGTTGTTTTCATTGGCACATCTGTTGCCACAGATAAAAATGAAAACCCTGATGTCTATAAATTTCATGCAGGGATATTAAATGTTATTAACTCTGAATCTGCTAGAACTGAAAATAATAAGCCTTTGCCATCAGTCTAAGCCAGGTCAGTCCGGCAAAAAAAAAACAGACCAAGAGCATGTATTCCAGTCTAAGGGGCAATAACAACCTATTGGCAATGATAACAAAACGTACATCAGTAATAACATACCTAGTGGCTGCAAAAACAGACCTAGTGACAATTATAACATACCAGTGTCACTACAAACGGAACTAGTGACCTAGTGGCAGTGATCGTAAACCTAGTGGCAATGATAACAGACCGGCAATGATAACAGACCAAGTGACTGGTAAAAACAGACCTAGTGACAATGGTAACAGACCTAGTGGCACTACAAACAGATCTAGAAGCTGTAAAAACAGACCAAGTGACAATACCAGACCTAGTGGCAGTAAAAAACAGACCTAGTGACAATGGTAACAGACCTAGTGGCACTACAAACAGACCTAGTAGCTGTAAAAACAGACCTAGTAACAATGATAACAGACCTACTGGCAGTAATAACATACCTTTTTGTGGTAGAAATAACATCCTTAGGGCAGTAATAACAGACTTGATGACCTAGTGGCAGTAATGTATCTAGATGCAATGATAACAGACATACTGGCACTACAAACAGAGCAAGTGATCTAGTGGCAGTAATAGTATACCTAGTGGCAATGATAACAGATCAAGTGGCTCTAATAACAGACTTACTGGTAGAAATAACAGACCTAGTGGGTGCTAATGACAATTATAACAGACCTAGTGGCAGTAATAACAGACTTATTATATGGCAGTAATAACAGCACAAAAGTTGTAACAACAGACCTAGAGGCAGAAATAACAGACCCAGTGATTTGGTGGTAGTAATAACAGACCAAGTAGCAATGATGACAGACCAAGTTGCAGTTATAATAGACCTAGTGGCAGTAATAACAGACCAAGTAGCAGTAATAACAGACCAAGTGGCAGTTAAAACAGACCTAGAGTCAGAAATTACACACCTAGTAATCTAGTGGCAGTTATAACAGACCAAGTAGCAATGATTACAGACCAAGTGGCAGATATAACAGACCTAGTGGCAGTAATATAAATAAAAGACTTAGTGGCAGTTACTACAGACCTAGAGGCAGAAATTACACACCTAGTAATCTAGTGGCAGTTAAAACAGGCCAAGTAGCAATGATAACAGACCAAGTGGCAGAAAAAACAGACCTAGTGGCAATAATATTAGACTTAGTGGCATTATAAAAGATTTAGTGGGAGTTATAACAGACTTAGTGGCAGTTACTACAGACCTAGAGGCAGAAATTACAACCTAGTAATCTAGTGGCAGTTATAACAGACCAAGTATCAATGATTACAGACCGAGTGGCAGAAATAACAGACCTAGTGGCAGTAATTACAGACTTAGTGGCAGTTATAACAGACCTAAAGGCAGAAATCACAACCTAGTAATCTAGTGGCAGTTATGACAGGCCAAGTAGCAATGATTACAGGCCAAGTGGCAGTAATAAAAGATCTAGTGGCAGAAGTAACAGACTGAGTGGCAGTTTATACAGACTAAGTGGCAGAAATAACAGACCTAGTGGCAGTAATAACAGACCTAGTGGCAGTAATAACAGACCTTTGCCTTTAGTATATTCCCTTGCCAGCATATTTGTAATTGTGACTAGGACTGATACTATTGCTGCTAGGACTTGTTGCGTCTTCAATTTGAACACCTTTAAAAGGTATTGACATTGACTTGGGTAAGAATGAAGAGTGCGTTTATTGTGTACATTAATTTTACTAGTAACAAACAAACAATCCTCATCCTGTTGATTTAATGTTATTGATCTATCAAGGTAAATATCCTGATGCAAAATACTTATATAAGCTTTATGATTATTATATGTAGGAAGTATATAATTAATTTGTTTTGATTCCTCAACATGTCTTTGAACTGTCATTGAACTTTATGTACTTAACAAATTTTGTCAAAGGTCTTTTAAATTATTTTCCACCCATAACTCAGTCATTTTTACCCCTCATTTTCAGAAACATATTAAACCATATTGAAAATAGAGTAAGTTATACTTACTTTAATTTAGGAATTAAAGATAAGTCAAATGAAGAAGGTCATGGTCTAAACCATCCTTGGCAACCCATGTTTACTTGTCATGTATACATTTCATTTATATTCCTATGCATCCTAAACATATTCCACATATTTTCATTTGACCACAGGAGGCTGCCTTTTTTAGGTACTTTTCATGTTTGAGGGATACTGAATTTTTGTAACTGTTGATTTCATTGGATAGAAATGAGTCATGAATATTTATGCATTACGAAGATTCTCCAACCAATTTTCCCACGGGTGTTGAATGTAGTTCAGCAAAATCAAAACCTGGGTTCAGACAATAAACCTAACTTCTCAACATTAATTTCATCAGAAAAAATCCCAATCTCAAAGTTATGGATCATGTTTTCAAAAGCCATGGGTCATGTAACCCAAAGCCATAGGGTCCTGTACCAGAAAATCATGGGTTATGTACCCAAAGCCGTTGGGTCATGTACCAGAAAATCTTGGGTCATGTATCCAAAGCTGTGGGGTCATGTATCAAAAGCTGTGGGGTCATGTACCCTCAAATCATGGGTCATGTACCCAAAGCTGTGGGTCATGTACCCAAATATAATGAGTCATGCTCGTGAAATAATTTTTGCTACTTTTATGACAAAGAATAATCACATTCATGACTGTATTATTGCAGACAATAAGCGTCTTACATGCTTTTAAACATTATTCAAATGTGAAGGAAAAAACAATCTTTGTTTTGGCATAATGTGCCTTTAAAAAATGTTATTTTTTACTCTTCTTTATTTCATAAGGAATCTACTGTTACCTTCAAATACATGTTCCTTATCATCAACCATGTTATAAGTAACTAGGTTCATACTTTAAAAATTACTTTAAAACATACATGCTATATTTCCAGCCACCCAGATAGGGGGATTTGGCTTTAAAAAGCAGGGGATTTGGACCAAAAGTAGGGGGATTTTTAAGCAAGCACAAACCAGTCGTAATCTTAAAACGATGCAAACATATAATTAAATTTCCCCCATTTTATTATGAAAATGAACATTTCTACAAGATCATTTGATATTTTCAAGTTTTAACATACATGACTGTGAAGGAATAATATGTAAACAATTGCAAATAAACATAGGTACTTTAAATATTTGATGTAAATAAAATAAGAATCGCTGTAAAACAAATACTGTATAATTAATTGCATGTATATCATATAATATACATTTTTATATCAGATATATATTGAATCATTTTAGTACAAATAAACTTGAATTTGATGCATTCAAAATCATTAAAATAAATATACTTTAACAGCCAAAGTTTTTTCTCTTTAAATGAAAGGTAAAGAATTTTCTCTTTAAATGAAAGGTATCAACATTTTCACGGAGAATTTTTGTAGCCATAGAAAGGTGAAATAAAAAAATGCTGCCTTTAAAAATTTACCGTTGACACTTCATAAACAGTAAAAAAATTTGACACAAATCTTAATCCAGTTTACTCAGGTCATTATGTACTTCACACCTCAATTTGTTAACACACATCAATTACCTCATGCTTACCATATATGGCAGTAGGGAGTCTAGACGCTACGTCACTTGATACCTGTATGTACATGTAAACTGTGTAATTGATGAAGGGTTGTGTAGAGGTTGTTTGGAGTGTACTGACTACTGGATAATAATCAAACTTAATTATTTTGGCCCTTTGGGTCTTAAAACAGGTATTATTTATTATTTATCTGATTGAAACGGATTTTTGTCTCTTTCAATCACTCCTCAGAGATACGCATATCATCACCTTGTTCCAGTCTGACCATTCAATACAGAGTTATGGCCCTTTGATTAGTTATGCAGTATGCATAAAGAGCAATAATTGTTAACTTACCGCGCTACTTCTCTGCAACTACTGGCTGTAATTCAATGAAACTTTGTGGGAACCATTAATATCAAGCTGAGATGCACATATCATCACCTTTTTTTCAGTCTGACTCTTCACCATAGAGTTAAAGCCATTGATAAGTTATGTAGTATGCATATAGAGCAATAATGGTTTCCATGCTTTTTCTCTGCAACAACTGGCTGGAATTCAACGAAACTTTATGGAAATCGTTATTCTAAGAGGAGATGTGGCGCATATCCTTGCCTTGTTCTGGTCAGACCCTTGAACACAGAGTTATAGCCCTTGATAAGTTACATGTAGTATGCATATAGAGCAATATTGCTATTTCTTTGCAACTGCTGGATTGATTACAATCTCACTTTGAACTTAGAATTTTTCTTACAATCGTTACTAATTACTCTAACTTCTTTACTTCATAATGGATTAATTTCAAACTATAAGTTTGATTTAATTCAAACTTCAAAAACATGTATATTATCAACACCTACATCATATGCAATTAGATTTACAAGATTAGCCCCTGTATTTCCATTATTATCTCCATTTTGAACATGGGATTTAATTGAAAATTGTTGTTTTTTCTTTAGACAATTACATGTATCTGTGTTATTATAAATGGTATCTACTTTAGACTTAAATAAGTAATCTTTGGCATAATTCACATCATGTATGACAAGGTTCATTACTCTAGCATCTTTTTTTAAGGAGTTATTCTCACTTTAAACTTATAATTTTACTATAAAACCTTACAAACTTTTGGCTCTTATAATTTTGGTTACAGAAGGTGTTGACTTTAATTTTCAAATTGTTGTCATTAGAAGTCCAGATATCCTGGAAATTGGTTGGACAGGTTGTTTTGATAATATCTAGCACAAGTTCAAAATTAATATTGATCACCTAGGGTCAAAAACAAGGTCACACTGTCCAAATTTGGAAAAGTCATGTTAACACTCTACAGTCTACTGTTTCGGTGTAAATAGTAAATACCCGGGGTTGTGATTTCTAGGTCATGTACTAATATGGGTCACCCTGGATGAAAAACTATGTCACACATTCTAAATATGGAATTCCTTGTTAACACACCGTTTCGGTCAAAATTTCCTGGAATTGGTGAGGAAGATTGTTATGTTTATTTTTTGCTCAACTTTATATATAGGTCGTCTGGGGTAAAAATCTAGGCTACAGAGCCCATATATAGAAAAACATTGTTTACATTTATACTATTTCAGGTGCAGATATGAACATTACAATATTAGTTGAATATAATGACATTTTTCTGCTTTTAATTCATAGCTAACAATAGTTATCGTTACTCTCATTAAGAGTGTAATAATCAGGTGAGCAATATATTAAGGGCCAACAGGGCTATCTTGTTTCTCAACAAGCTATGGACACTCATGAAATGTTTATTTTCATACCACTCAATGAAAATAGATTCTGTATTTATAGATAAAACTTGAATATCCTCTATATATTAATTTTGCAGGATGTTCGTGTGATTGTTGCTGAAGAGGAAAATTTTGAAAATTTCAGTAGAACTGGTCAAATAAGAGAACCAACAACTCCAAGGCAAAACAAGAGGCAGGGTAAGACAAGCCTTAAAATCTTTGTTTTTCCTCCCGCAACCCATGTCGTACCCAGGGTAGGGTAGGTAGGTCGCTAAAATATTTTTTTTTTTATCCAAAATGTTTTGTTGTTTTTTTTTTGTATAAAAATTATATGGAGTTCGAACAAAAAGTAAATGTTTAGCATCAGTTAAAAGATTAAAACCATATTTTCTGTTTTATTGAACATATATTCCAGTTTGTATATTAACAATTAAAAAAAACCATGAGACAGATATAAATTGACACTCCTTGTTTCCATTTTTAGTACAAAAAAAAAAAAAATTATTTTCTTAGGCAGTAAAAGAGTTTTTGGGTTGCTGTGATTTTTGTGGGCAGGTAGGAGGAGGGGAAACAAACAATATTTTATTTTAGACCGAAGAGAATTCTAGACTGACTTAAAGCAGCAAGCCTCCAGATTCGTGCTAATTTTCATGACAATTTTAACATTGTATTAAATAGTGAAATATTGTGAAGAAAGAAAATAATATACACATGGCACTTACAATCCATGTAAATTACTAATAAGAGGTCAAAATATGCAAGAAAAAAGCCCTAACTGCATTACTAACGCAAAAGAAATATGGGTCGGCCATTTAGCGCAAATAACATGGAAATAGTTACTTATATCTTCTACTTTTTTACTTTTCATTAATTCTCAATACATTTTTCTCAAGTTTGATTTTCTTGAAATATTTTGCCTCCCCTCATCTGGAGGCATGCAGCTTTAATTAATGCTTAATTGCAAAATAATGGTTTAATGGTCAGGCATAAAGAATGTATGTAGGTGAGGTACATGTAGATTATCCTATACTTGGCAACAATAATTCACTTCACATTTTTCTGTTTGAATCTGCCTTTTTACTGTTTCACAATTACTTCATTAATATACCATTCCAGTAAATAAGTTATAACTCCAGTAGCATTACAAATATTAATATTGTAATATGAAATTAGGCAAAGCCTTTGAATGGGGGAGGTCGATAAAAAAAATCGTTCTTTTTTCCATTTTAAATGTGTCATTCGATATTTCATGCACTGCTTTCGTTTTCACTTGGAACACCTGGACAATAATAAAGCAGAAAAGTTGCGATTATTCCATGATCAGAATACCCCGCCTTTTATTATCGAGTTTCATTGAAAATGGCGACGCCCAAACTAAAAATGAGTAAATTTCACTAATACGTTAAGAATTATATACATTTTTAATTGTTTTTTATTTGTTTTCCTTTTAAATATACACCTGTAGTCTATAGCTGGGCAAGCCAAAGTTTTGGACCGCTTAACTTCCCCATAAAAATGTTTCAACTTAAAGTCTTCCACAATATAAATAATGTGTATAATAATATGGATTTGAAATTTAAGTGTAAAAAGCTATATATCTGCTTCAAAAATTATTACTAGGGACAAGTCTTGTGAAAAATAATACTAACAAATTCCTGTTAGAAAGAAATATGTTTGAAGATTTCCTCTTAAGGGAATGGCACATGCATTAATAAAATCATTGCATTGTACGATATACATGTACATGTGTCCTAAATAACTGAGAAATTTTATATAAAAACTCTTTTCAAAAATCAATAATGAGAACAGCTGAATTTTACTGTTTATGAATTTTATAAAAAAATGTTACATTAGATATATCTTTATGCCCTTACTGAACATCTAATGGTCATGATGGTAGTATATGAATTAGAGCTGTCATTGATACAAACAACATCCATGTATTGTAGATATTTTTCTGCCAATCGATAATCGATACACATTTTAAAAAAATGATAATATTGACTAATTAATTACAGTCCAACATGTATCACAATTGTCTTAATACACACATAGTTGTTTGAAAATTTTCATAAATTTTGACGGTCAGCGAGTGAATCAGCGGCAATAAGTCTGGCTATGAATAATAGGTGCGAAATTCTGTAATAATTACAATAGAGACCGAAATTCTATTTTGAAAAATAGGAGGTATTCGGATAATGCATTTCGAATAATACGTTCGTATTTATATTGACTTATATAGAGATAAAATCAGGATTGCCGATCTACTTCGGATAATGCCGGGTATTGGAATAAAGGGTTGTCGGATAACCGGGGTAGGACTGTAAATGTCTTCAATTTACAAAAATTCACCTAAAACAGTTACAGAATTAGATGTACATGTCTAACACTATGCTGTTGTTACATAGTGGAAATGTCTGCATCCGTGCATCCATCCCTTTTGTCTGGAGCATGACTCAACGATTTTCTTTTCTTTAACTTCTTACACTGACAAATCACATTGCAGGAAAGTATGTTATGTAATGTAAATTCAAATTATCCACAATTATACTATCTTGTTGTTTTCAAGCTTCTTGTGTTTCTGGTTGTGTTGCTGGCTTAAAATTACCACACTACAATATACAACATTTGATATAATCAATATCACCTTATTATCTGTATTATTTAAGACTTGACATTTACAATAAAAACGGCTCATTTTATGTGATGCTTCATAGACATTTGAAAGTTTTACTGTAAACTGGCAGATTGTTGTTGTAGTCTTTGTATTTTTAGATCTTTAGATATTTATGTTTCTATAAATACATGTTGCAGCCCCAAACGGTGATTTTGGTCGTCCATGGAGTGTGTATGAGGCTTATCAGATTATAATTCTGCATCAGGTTGAGGCACTTATCAAACTTGGGGCGGACAAGAGTTTGAAGGTAATGTTTACAACCAGTCAAAGCACTGCATGCTGGTGATAAGGCAAAATTATTGTGAGATTTCTTGTAGTTTTACAGGTAGTCAAAGCACTGCTCGAGTACTGTAGCTTATTGTGGAGTCTCAATACACAATTAAATATACAAGCCTAGAAGCTTTTCAATGGGTCACCAGCAACTTCTCCCCTTACATCAGTGTCACAAACAAGTCAACTACAATGGTGTTTCCTTGGAAACAAAAATTAATGCCAGGCTACTGATGTTCATAAGATTGTTCATGGACGGGTTGCAGTACTAATGCCTTGATCCTTGTGTTATAACTCCTAACCAGCTCACTAGACACATACATTCCCTTTGATATGGACAAATATATACTCCATGTTACAACTTTAAAAGTCCTCTTTTTATGCTCCCCGAAAAATTTCAGGGGAGCATATAGTCACCGGGTTGTCAGTCCATCCATCCGTCCCGAATTTGTGTCCCGCGCGTAACTTCGTTATTTGAAGTCAGATTTTAAAACTATTTCACAGAAATGATCACCATATTGAGACGACGTGTCACGCTCAACATTTGGGTCGCTACCTTGAAGGTCAACGTCACAGCATGACCTTGCAGCAAAATCGTGTCCAACCCATAACTTCTTTATTTGAAGTCGGATTTTAAAACTATTTCACAGAAATGATCACCATATTGAGATGACGTGTCACGTTCAACATTTGAGTTGCTACTTCAAAGGTCAACGTCACAGCATGACCTTGCAGCAAAATGGTGTCCGGCACCATATTGAGACAACATGCCGCACGCTACATTTGGGTCGCTACCTTGAAGGTCAAGGTCACAGCATGACCTTGCAACAAAATCGTGTCCGGCCCATAACTTCCTTATTTGAAGCCGGATTTATAAACTATTTCACAGAAATGATCACCTTATTTAGACAACATACCACGTGCAACATTTGGAGTTAGATAGATCTCATTGAGTAGAAGGGCAGTGCAAAGAACAGTTACTCTGCCTTGCCTAAGTTTGGAATTATCACACTTTGAACTTTGTTTTGGACATAACTCTGTAACTACAAATGATATATACTTTTCTGTGCCCAAAACCTAGTCGGGGAGCATCACCTGGTTCAACTGGCTCTTGTTTTCCCAGCAACCATCATACTCTGGAATTCTCTGCCAGCCAATGTTGTGCAAGATTCTACCCTGGATCAGTTTAGGCAAAAGGAAACTAAACTGTGCCATGAGTTCTCAGCGTACAGACTGTTTTTAACCAAGTTTTCAAGGAAAACTGGTTATTGTAATGCATTAGTCAGCGGGCGGGCAGGCAGGCTGGCGGGCGTCAACTTTTGGTTTCCGCACAATTACTTAAGTTTGCTTTGGCCTATTGACACCTAACTTATTGTATGGGTAGCTAATATATCAAAATTATTTTTACTAAAAATACAAATTCAGTTTCCGGTCAGTAACTTGAATTTGCTTTTGCTTTTGTCTATTGACACCAATTGGTGTATGGGTAGCTTATATCAAGAGGCAGCTTGAGATTGCTACCCAGGTGTCTATGATCAAGGTCAAGGTCACTGTTACTATAAATAGAAATTCAGTTTCAGCTCAATAACTTGAGTTTGCTTTCGCCTATTGATACCAAACTTGGTGTATGGGTAGCTTATACCAAGAGGCAGCTTGGGATTGTTACCCAGATGTCTGTGATCAAGGTCAAGGTCACTGTTACTATAAATAGAAATTAAGTTTCAGCTCAATAACTTGAGTTTGCTTTCGCCTATTAACACCAAACTTTGTAAGTAGCTTATATCAAGAGGGACCCAGGTGTCAGTGGTCAAGGTTAATGTCAATGTTGCTAAAAATAGAAATCAGTAATAAATTGAAGTTCCTTAGATGTTTGACAACAAATTTAGTATGTGGGTAGCTTATATCAAGATGCAACTTGAGATTGCTGCCATGGTGTCTGTGATCAAGGTCAAGGTCACTTGCTTAAAAAAAAATTAGTTTTCACTAATAACTTAAGTTTGCTTTGACCTTTTTGACACCAAACTTGCTGTGTGGCAGCTTGGGATTGCCACTTAGATATCTAGGAGCAAGGTCATTTGCTTACTAAAGAATTTTCAGCTTTCTAGTCAATAACTGCAGTGCACTTTGATCTATTGATCCTACTTTCACATCACAATACTTTAAAAGGGCGGGATGCAGTATCTATCGATATAGATACATGCATACCATGTCTGTTAATAAATACCTTTTTTTTATTTTACAAAAATCAAATTTTAAATGGATATTATTAAAGGTATCCTGCTTTTGGCAGATATAGACAGGTAAATAAAAGTAATTGTTTTTTTTTTTTTCGGCACCAGAATTCATAAATTGATGGCCCTGTAATTCTACATCTCAACAAGTTGTTCTCTGTTTATTTCGGTTTAGTAAGACATTATTGCAATGTTAAGACATGGTAACATTATGTACTGGTAATTTTTTTATTTATTTTTTTTACATCTTTTTGTTGTTGTTTTACAGGATGTTGTGTTTCAAATTTGGGTGAATTATTTATCAAAACTTCGAGTAGCGTTTTCTAAAGAGAAAGATACAAAAGTAACATACGAAAGACAGAGGTAAGTGTATTTTTATTTGTGATATGCTTGATATTTTTAACACACATGTCAATATAATTGACACATTTAATGGGCAGCAATAGCTAAATGAATGACAAAACTTTGAACTGCTTTTGTAAAACATGAGAATTAATAGTCTGCAAGTGTGTGGAGTACGTGTGAATTCAATTGTAAAGTTTTTGTTTCTTTTAGTTTTAAATATTATATTGATATAAATTATAACATGGCACCAAAAATAATACTCTTATGCAAAATAAGAAATGATAGCATTTTGAGGCTTAATGGGTCTTTAAGCTGACACAAGGGTGTTTGAGATCTTATGATTTTTTTCAGCCTGGCTATACTCTAGCAGGGTTTATATATATTTTGTGAGTTAACAAACATGCTAACAAAAACAACCGATTTTACCAAGGGCCAAGGGGAATATTGTGATATACAGGCTGAAAATACAACTGATTTTAACAGCATTTCAACTGATGATATGGATCGTCAATCAGTTAATAATGAAAACCATGACTCTAGGCTGCTGGATGCTCAATTTTTTGTAGTTTAACTGAAATCTCTCAAATTGAAAATGGGTGTTTGCAAATTAAATCGAGGCAAGAGCAAATCCACACAGAGTTTGCAACGTAAAGAATTTAAAACAGTCCCTAATGTTTTGTTTCAATTGTAGGGAATTATTTCGAGGCACAACAGATAAACCAAAAATCAAAAATGTTTTTGCAAAAAGAAGTCTGCTGAAATCACGGGGACTGTCAGCAAAAAAAGTTCGTCAACAAATGGTAAGCTTTTAAATTAGAATTTAAAAACTTGACATAATAATACACCTAAATAATTTCTTCTTTTCCCTTATATGACAAAATATTTTCATTAGTTACATGTTTACATATTCATCCCCCTCACCGCTGTGGGTTAGAATCAGGACAGGGACTTTGGATTCTTTCATGTGAGAAAGCTTTCGAGCTAGCTTGCGCAACGACGGTGGTTCTACCCAGGCTGAAATAATGCACGGAAGGGCAGAACTAATTGATGGATGATCACCAAATTTTGTATGTAGCATTCTTAGGTAGTGTTTTTATCATGTTTGCTCATATTAATTTGATTTGCCCCTTTTAAGGGCAGCTAAAGCTTAAAATAGAAAAACCTTCGAACATCATCTCCTCCCAGGCTTTGGCTTGCCCAGCTATTGACTATACTATATGTGTATATTTAAAAGAAAATCAAATGAAAAACAATTAAAGATTATATAAAATTCTATACCTATCAATGAAAAATTAAGTGTCAGTTCTAGTCAGCCACCACCATTTTTAGTGTAACTCAATTATAATATGCAGGGTATTCCGATAATAAACAATCGCAACTTTTCGGATTAATAATAATCGTCAAGTACTCCGAATAAAAACGGAAGCGTTGCATGAAATACCAAATGACACCTTTAAACAGTAAAAAAAATAAGATTTTTTAAACTGACTTCTTTGTTCATGGTCTAATTTCATATTATGGAGAAGTCGAAGAGTGTGGGCTTTGGCTTGCCCGGCTATAGACTACATGTGTATATTTAAAAGAAAATTTAAAAAAAAAAAAAAAACAATTAAAAAATATATAGTTTTCTATACCTATAAATGAAATTTTCTGTGTCATATCTAGTTGTGCATCACTATTTTCATTGTAACTCAATGATTTCAGGAGGAAAGCGGTGCATGAAATACTAAATGACACCTTTAAAACTAAAAATGAACGAATATTTTAATTGATTTTCCAGTTCATAATCTTTGCCTAATTATACCCCTGCACAACAAAGTTGTAAGGGGGGTATACTGGAATCAGCTTGTCCGTCCGGCTGTCCGTCGGTTTTTTCTTGTCCGCCCAATAACTTAAGATTCCTTTGACCCTTAGTCTTCATAATTGGCATGGAGGTTAGTCATGATTAGTAGATGACCCCTTATGATTTTGAGGTCACCAGGTTAAAGGTCAAGGTCACAGGGGCCTTGACTTCAAAAAGCTTGTCCACCCAATAACTTAAGATTCCTTTGACCTACAGTCTTCATATTTGGCATGGAGGTTAGTCATGATTAGTAGATGACCCCTTATGATTTTGAGGTCATCAGGTTAAAGGTCAAGGTCACAGGGGGCCTTTGACTTCAAAAAAGCTTGTCCACCCAATAACTTAAGATTCCTTTGACATACAGTCTTCATATTTGGCATGGAGGTTAGTCATGATTAGTAGATTGACCCCTATTGATTTTGAGGTCACCAGGTTAAAGGTCAAGGTCACACGGGCCTTGACTTCAAAAAGCTTGTCCGCCCAATAACTTAAGATTCCTTTGACCTACAATGTCTTCATATTTGGGCATGGAGGTTAGTCATAATTAGTAGATGACCCCTATTGATTTTGAGGTCACTAGGTCAAAGGTCACAGGGGCCTTGACTTCAAAAAGCTTGTCCGCCCAATAACTTAAGATTCCTTTGACCCTTAGTCTTCATATTTGGCATGGAGGTTAGTCATGATTAGTAGATGACCCCTATTGATTGTGAGGTCACCAGGTTAAAGGTCAAGGTCACAGGGGCCTTGACTTCAAAAAGCTTGTCAACCCAATAACTTAAGATTCCTTTGACCCTTAGTCTTCATATTTGGCATGGAGGTTAGTCATGATTAGTAGATGACCCCTTATGATTTTGAGGTCACCAGGTTAAAGGTCAAGGTCACAGGGGCCTTGACTTCAAAAAGCTTGTCCACCCAATAACTTAAGATTCCTTTGACCTACAGTCTTCATATTTGGCATGGAGGTTAGTCATGATTAGTAGATGACCCCTTATGATTTTGAGGTCATCAGGTTAAAGGTCAAGGTCACAGGGGCCTTGACTTCAAAAAGCTTGTCCACCCAATAACTTAAGATTCCTTTGACCTACAGTCTTCATATTTGGCATGGCGGTTAGTCATGATTAGTAGATGACCCCTATTTGATTTTGAGGTCACCAGGTTAAAGGTCAAGGTCACACGGCGTTGACTTCAAAAAAATCTTGTCCGCCCAATAACTTAAGATTCCTTTTGACCTACACAGTCTTCATATTTGGCATGGAGGTTAGTCATGATTAGTAGATGACCCCTATTTGATTTTGAGGTCACTAGGTCAAAGGTCACAGGGGCCTTGACTTCAAAAAGCTTGTCCGCCCAATAACTTAAGATTCCTTTGACCTACAGTCTTCATATTTGGCATGGAGGTTAGTCATGATTAGTAGATGACCCCTATTGATTTTGAGGTCACCAGGTTAAAGGTCAAGGTCACAGGGGCCTTGACTTCAAAAAAGCTTGTCAGCCCAATAACTTAAGATTCCTTTGACCCTTAGTCTGCATATTTGGCATGGAGATAAATCATGATTAGTAGATGACCTCTATTGATTTTGAGGTCACCAGGTCAAAGGTCAAGGTCACAGGGGCCTTGACTTCAAAAAGCTTGTCCGCCCAATAACTTAAGATTCCTTTGACCCGTAGTCTTCATATTTGGCATTGAGGTTAGTCATGATTAGTAGATGACCCAATTTGACTTTGATGTCACAAGGTCAAAGGTTCAAGGTCACAGGGGCCTTGACTTCAAAAAAGCTTGTCCGCCCAATAACTTAAGATTCCTTTGACCCACAGTCTTCATATTTGGCATGGAGGTTAGTCATGATTAGTAGTTGACCCCATTTGACTTTGAGGTCACCAGGTCAAAGGTCAAGGTCACAGGGCCATGACTTCTAAAAAGCTTGTCCGCCCAATAACTTAAGATTCCTTTGACCCACAGTCTTCATATTTGGCATGGAGGTTAGTCATGATTAGTAGGTGACCCTTTTTGACTTTGAGGTCACCAGGTCAAAGGTCAATGTCCACACGGGCCTTGACTTCAAAAAGCTTGTCCGCCCAATAACTTAAGATTCTTTTGACCCACAGTCTTCATATTTGGAATGGAGGTTAGTCATGATTAGTAGATGACCCCTATTGATTTTGAGGTCACCAGGTCAAGGTCACAGGGACTTTGACTTCAAAAAGTTTTGTCTGCCCAATAACTTTAGATTCCTTTGACCCACAGTCTTCATATTTGGCATGGATGTTGATCATGATTAGTAGATGACCCCTTTTGATTTTGAGGTCACTGGATCAAAGGTCAAGGTCATAGGGACTTTTACTTCAAAAAGTTTGTCCACCCATTAACTTAAGATTCCTTTGACCCACAGTCTTCATATTTGTCATGGATGTTGATCATGACTATAAGGTGACCCCTATTGATTTTGAGGTCACTGGGTCAAAGGTCAAGGTCACAGGGACCTTGACCAAAAAAAAGCTTTTCTTCTCAATTGCTAAAGAATGTCCTGTCCGCAATGTATTGATTTTGACATTTTCACATTTGAAGCATGTAGAATACATAACTTAGCAATGCACTGGCTTAGTAACCTCAGAGTTGGCAGGGAGGTTGTCCTTGAGCTCTAAATGGCCACTGTTGATTCTGACAAAGTGGTATGCGGGGGTATTCACGCCATGATAGTGGCAGTTCTAGTTTCATATTAATGAAAACATTCAAAATTCTAAGAACTCTAGAATTTTCTGTGAGTTCTTTTTTTCAGTGTGTATACTAATTGTTTTCTAAATAGGAAAAAGACCAGACCATTGTAGCTCTCCAAAATGAAGAGTTTTATGAGGGAGATAATCCACTCAGTGAAAGTGGGGAAACACAGAGAGTATCTAGGGGAGATGATTCAGACAGCAGTGAAGTGGAATTGGAGGAGGATGAAGAGGAAAAGTGGGGAAGATATCGGGTATTATTTGAAATTATTATTTTGTCAAGAAATTTATTTATTATAACCTGTAAACATACTGTTTTGATCATTTGCAGACAACTGTGGTAGGAGTGGCGAGAAACTCGCATTCTTACCATGACAACTTCATTCTTTGTCATATAGATACCAGTAACAATGTGTTAAGATTCTGACTCATGAATTTTGCTGTTTACTCATATTTACAGAGTTGAAAGAAATCATGCTTTTGTTATTAACATCTTTTCTGTTTATACAAATTTTTCCTTTGCCCCTGACAGTTTTACTGGTGGTGGTGGTAGTTTTAATTAAAAAACAATGTCCTTGAGTTCAAAAATGGCAAGAGCTTCAAATATTGTTATGTAGCACGAGCTTTATTGAATGTAATTTAGGTCATGCGGCCTT